GCTGTGTACAAGAAGGGGATGAGTCTGAAATGATGTCTGAAAATCTGAGTTCTTGGTGACTCGAGGCAACTACAGAGAGTGAAAGAGCTGGTAGCCCATAAACTGCCAGAAGGGGGTCATAATGGAAAGCTGCAGCCAAAGGTTATTAAGACAGATGAATAAGCGACATTACACTCACATGTCAGTGTCATTCTCAAAGTAGCCCTATAGAGCCTCACTGAGACCCTTCATACAGGGTGGGTGTGTATTATGTGCATGCACATATAACTCTGGCAATGCCCCAGAGGAACTCAGGTTAAGATGTAGTTTGATGCTGGCCACACAACAGCATTACTTTAGAGACTAAAGCCAAAGCAGCAGGAGGGCAAGAGAAGGAGCGTGCCAGTTTGAATTCTAACAATACCACCATGTAGAAAAGTCCAAATATATAACCTTTCATCCTGATTTACCCAGAGCTACTGCAGCTTATATCTCTCAGACCAGTCTAGCCTCCCCTGTGTTTGTGTGTGTGTGTGTGTGTGGCTTAATGCCAGCATTTCTGGGACACTGGTACTTTTCAGAGACAAGATGCCGTCCTCTTTCAACTCTTTTACTTTAATCTTCCCACTGAGCTCCTGGCCGCAGGGTCATTCACATTAATTCAAGAATTGTAAAATCAATATAAATCATGATTAGACACCGATACAAGGATGTCAGTAGCCTACTGAGATAATGTGCTCCTACAGTTTTTTTCTGACTATGAAGTGGCATCTGGAGACAAGACTTCAACATGCCGTGGTGTGCGTGGCCACTAGAGTGCAGGTGACAACCATCAGAGCCAACTCATTACAGACTTATGTGCAAATAACCAAGTATCGTCATCCAAGCACATCACGTTAAATAATTGCTGGAAGAGCTGTTCACATGCACACAAGCACACATAAAGGCTTTGCTGTCACATTAATCCTGAGCGGGGGTTAGTCATGTTGTCTCTGGGCTGGGTCTGCTGGTTGACATATGGCACTTATGTTGCTCATATCACTCCCGTCTGAGCTGTGATAGCCAGAGGCTTGTACAATCCCAGATTGACACACCAGGCTTAGTCACTGCAACCACTTTCCAATACCACGCTAAAAGGCTCTGACAGCATATGCTTTCCAGTCTGCACAAATGTTGTGTAACTGCAGCTGCACATGCAGCGGCTCCATGGTGCTGGGGTTGCTGTTTTTCTTCATTTCATGTAGGTCTCAATACATCTGCATGCAAGTGCACGATCAAGAGCACGCACATGCTCCCACACCACCTTTAGACACACTGTCCTCTCTTTATTAGACTACAGCCCTGTTCCTGGCCCCACTGCAGCTTGCTGTGATATGAAATCTGACACTGTCAATTTGCCTCCCAATCCGTCAGACTGTGGATTGGATTCAGATGGCATAGTTGTGGGGCTCGGGGACTTGGAGCTGTGTGGCCTAGGCAACTGCTAACCGCCATCCACCCACAACCATACCCCTTCAAGTTCCCTCAGTGGTGAAATCATCTGCAATCTAAC